TGAAGAAGAGAGCCCAGAGAGAGTCCGTGGTTTGGGGGTTCTAGGGTTTGGGGTTTTAACTTCAGGAGTTTAGGGTGTGGGGGTTTAGGGTTTTAGGGTTTAGGGGTTTAGGGTTTTAGGGGCTAGGGGTTTAGGGTTTTAGTGTTTAGGGGTTTAGGTTTTTTAGGGTTTAGGGGTTTTGGGTTTTAGGGTTTAGGGGTTTAGGGTTCAGGGTTTCAGGCTTTATGGGTTTAGGGTTTGGGGTTTCAGGGTCTAGGGGTGTAGGGGTTTAGGGGTTTGGGTGTTGCGGGCTCTTTGGAAGCTTGGATGTCGAGCAGTTTCTTGTGCCTGATACCCGTTGGCTTCAAGAGTTTATTCCTTCCTTCGGCTTCCACCGCGTGCTGTCCAGGACTTAGAAGCAAAGCAACGATAAAGGATTTCGCATTAATGCCCGTGGTATATCTTGTACAAATTCCGTTGTAAAAGGCAGTTTTTTCATCAAGAGACTAAAACAACAAAGAATAACATAATAACAACTAACACAATTATCGATAAAAGAAATATTAAATTTGGTGCTGGTAAGCATACCTCACCCGATGACCTTTTCAAAACAGATAATAACTTACAAGCAGGAAGCGTTTGAAATATGTGATACAGGATGGGGTAAAAGTCAAATAACACCAGAAGAGTTAGAAGGAAGAGTAGCGAAAATTGAAACAGATAGTGATTTAATTAAGAAAGATATAGAAGATATAAATAAATATAAGTATAAATTGGATTAAGAAGTTTTATATATTGCAATATGACAGAGCACTATGCCATCAGTGGAAGGAGAAGAAAACGCCCTTATGATAGCAACCCAGTGTCTCACTTGAATGAACTCGTGAAAGGGAAGTAATGAGATACATTCAATCGCACTACATAAGATGGTGCTTAATTAGTTTGTGTCATAGTAAGATTATAAAATCATTCCTTCTATATGGCAATATATGCACATAAAATTATTGTATCGTTTGATGTTAGTTACGGGATACGAAGTATCCCTTCAGGACAAAGCCGTGTCAATTATGAAAACGAATATAGATTGAATGATATTAAATACTGCCCTAATTGTAAAATATGTCGTGATATACAATGCTTTCGTAGTTTAAATAGAAACAAAGATTATAACAAATTATGTAGGCGATGCTTAAGTAGCACGAAGGGTTATAAGCAAAAACTATGTCTTTATCAGGGTTTTTCAACTCATTTTGCGTCAAACTTTTTGAAAAAGTTTTAGTCTACAACTTTTATATAGTATGGGCGATGTAGATGACGCTTCGGCAGATGCCTCGCGAGGCTCTCGCGACGTTGTAAAACCAATCAAGCGCATCAGCAGTCAAAATATTTTAGAGAAGTTAGAACTCATTGAGAAAAATTTGAAGAATTAATCAATAAACCTAAGCAGGTTAAAAAACAAGTGGATAAAGATAGTAATGCTTACAAGAATAAGAGAAGCGTATATGTTAATAAACTGAATAACAAGGATATTAAGTTTCCTAAGAAGGAGACATTAGAATATTATGAGACTAGGTTTGACGACCAAGAGAGAGCATATTACACATTGCATTTTACAAAAAACATATATTACAAAACACATTTAAAGAAATGAGAACTTATATATTAATGGCATAAGCATCCGGATATACAAACGAACAGGAAATACCTAAGTTAATAGTGATCTAAACTGGATAAAGAACGAAGTTATGAATACATTAACGGACAATATACCGTATATTGAAAAACTGTATGATGACGACTTATGTAAGGAATGGAAAACTAATTGTTGAATTTTTAGACGGAAGAACAGTAGCTCTTATGAGAAGAGAAAAGCAACAAAGCGAATTTACAATAATAATTTTTCTTCACAGTAGTTATCATTCTATGTAAGGGTCGGCCGCAATGCAAGCCTACCGAGGCTTTGCCAAGCCTCATTTCCGAGTTCAGGGTTATAATCTTTTGGGTTTTTCTATTAGGGTCTTACCCCACACCTCATATTAGGATATTGGTTATAGAATGGATTAGGTTGAGTATTGTTTAGGTGCTTTGGGTTTTGGGTTCTGTTATAGATTATTGTTTGGGTTTGGTGGATTGCTTTGTTTCGGGATTATTGTATTGGTTTTTGGGAGGTGCTTTGTGTTTTGAGGGATTTACGGGTTGAAATCTTTGGCGGGTTGAGAAATGGGTTGAAAAAAAAGGGGGGAGTTTATAGGGTATGAGGTGTGGGGTTAGCCTATGCTTGCTTAAACCCCTATATAAACGGCAAACGTTTGAGCCGCAGCTCAAAAAACCTCTGAGATGAACACGAAGTTCCACAACGCGAAATGCTTTCAAAGCCCTGCATGTCTGGCTTAAACCCGAGGGCCTCAACCCTAACCCCAAAACCACCCAAAACCCGAAACGCAAAGCCTAAAGCCCTAAAATCTAAACCCCCTGAAGCCCTACGTAACTCTAAAGCCCAACCCATAATACCCCAAGACCCTAAATGCTTAGAATCCCCAGTCCCTGAGGCGAGTGAGGAGGGAGCCCCTGTCCGATTCCTAGCAGAGAACCGGGCTTCAAGTCTTTGGCTTCGGTTGACGATGCAAATCCTGCAATACCTTAATTAAGGACCCTAAACTATGGGAATTATGGTATATTCCTTATTATGGGTAATGCAAGTTTATATCATCAACCGCTTTGGGTAAAGGTTTCAAAAGGGATTTCTGTTTTTAGTAGTTTAGAGGCTCTAAGTTTCCCGAATTTTTGTATACGGGTTTGTAGTCTTTGTGTTTTTCTCGTGGCTGCCCCGCTGGACAACCAGATTTGCTCGCCAGTTTGTCATCCACTGAGCATGAACACTTGTTGCCTGAAACCCCATAGACCCTGAAGCCTTAAACTCTTCAGCCCTATCTTTGCATGGGTAGTTCTCCGAATCAGGCCCCTCTTTAGGTCAACAACAAGGGTGCGGCACCCTTGTAAACAGGACCCTGAGCGGGACCCTAATTTAGCGAAGTACCAACACGCTTTGGGATTGACGGGTTGTCCCGAAAAGCTCTGAAGTCCGAAGGTTCAGGGTTTAGGGCAGTCTCGGGTTTTTTCTGGGCTGAATTAAGGGCTTAGAGGTTTAGGGGTTGAAGGGTCTAGGGCGTTGGGGTTTCCGAGCGACTTCAGCCCTAAACCCTGGACCTTCCTAAGAGTCCCCAAGCCCCAAGCCCAGGCTGGAAAGGTTAATTCTTAAGTGTAGGGCTTCGTCTTTTTTGGGGGTATAAACCACAAGCCTCGATATTTTGACGTAACCCTCCGCCCTCTAAACTTCTCCGAACCCTAAACCCCAAACCCTAAAAACCCTCAACCCTGAACCACCTAAACGTCTCAGAAATTGAACGCGGTGTTGCAGGCCATCCTCTTGGACCTCCAGCGGCGCCTGGGCCCAGTGAAGGTCCCTCCGGGCTTGGAGAGTTTAGGGATTAGGGTTTAGGGTCCAAGGTTTGTTCAATGTTCTGCGCACGCCACCACGCAGGGCGTGTATGGTGGCGTGTGCTGACGTTCAGTGGTCTCGCCCAACCCACCCACCCACATCTCAACCTTGTCGCGTTTAGGGTTTCTTTGAGTTGATTGCCGACACGTATGGAGATCGGCAGAACAAGTCTTATACACAGCAGCCTTATTTGCGACCCGTTGCCCGAAACACAAGGTTTTTTTAGGAATCCCCGAGGTTTGGCTTGGGCTTGTTTTGAAGAGTTCGTTTCCATTAGATATGCAAGTGTGACTTTGCTGGCGGTGCGGTGTTTCAGTTCAGAGCCAATACACCGTTGCGAAGCTCTCTTAATTTCAGAGTCCACATGCTTAACGAAGAATCGAAGAATTGTCATGCATGCATGCGAGACTGGAACGCTGACAGACAGAGCGCCAAGAGTTTTTCGAAGAGGTCGGCTAGGTTTTTTTGTACCTGGCATGGCGAAACAATGAAGCCGTTCTGAAGCATTGCAACATAATATCTCTGCCGAAACTTTCGCTATATCGACTACCTGCGACACCAAAACCATAGCAAATTGTTGGTCTTTTGGGAAAGGTGCCTAAAATCACATTCCGGGCGAAAGGAGCGTAAATGAGTGTAATTGTGCAGAAGCCCTGGAAAACCTGCTCGATCCTTACTTTTGGAGCCTTTGGTCCCTAAATTTAGGTCCCATTTGCGCCCCAATCCGTAAATTCGGGTTCCAAACCTTGATTTTGGAGCCCCGATCCTAAATTTAGATGCAAAACCGTAAGATTGGCGCACCGGTCCTTACTTTTAGGTCTGAAGTTTTTAATTTTTGAGCTCGGGTCCGTAAGAAAAGCACCGGCCCAGAAATTCAGGCTCCAAACCTTAATTTTGGTCCCAAGCCTTCATTTAGGTCCCGGACGTTGATTTTAGAGCCCCTCCTGAATGTAGAGCCCCGGTCCTTAATTTTGCAGCTTCGAGGAAAGATAAGTACCAAACCTTGATTTTAGAGAACCGCCTGTGAACACAAACCACTGTAAATAAACATGCGCACACACTTTGGGGTGCAGAAGTGTGCGTTTGACCAAACCACTACTTTTGGGAGCCTGAGGGCTTCAGGGTTACAGGGTTTGGGGATTCAGGGGTTCAGGGTGCCGGTGTTTTCGATTTGCAACCAATGGTGATTATCTCAAGCCCTAGTGTACTTGATGATGTCACGAAGCTTCCAAGAGATGTTTGAGACTGCACTGCATATATTGATGCCGAATGAACCCCATCAAACATCTTATAGGTCCATCAACCCAGCCTTATACAATTTAAATAATCCCACTAAATCCCGCTTGCCCTCGCCATCCGGATGTTTTGGCGCTGCGGTTGCGTCGACTGGGATGAGGAGCGAACCTGGGAAAGGTTTGATTCGGATTGTTCGGGATTGGGTTACACCTTACGAGACTAATTATAAGGTCGATCCATCCATCAGTGAAAATTGGTCAAATTTTAATGCGTGCTGCAAAGCCACTCACACCAACATGCTGACATCCATCATCGAAAATGCCTCCTTGTCCAGTGCCGTCTTCATATGCAGAAGGTATCTTTGCATTGTTTTGATCGCGACGGCTCTCGCAGAAACCCGACGACTTAAGCGAGCCGTCCTTCCCACGAAGTCCTCCGACATGAACGTCGCCTCTGAGTAGGGGTTTACTGCATAGCCATGGGCTTTCCATTCTTCATAGACACGAAGAAAGATGTGGTTCAAATAGTGAGCTTTGGGTCGAAGCTTGAACAAGCAGAGGGATCGTTGGTGACACATGGACACAAGCCCCATGAATCCCAAAAGAAACTTGTGGCCACAATCGACGATGATGCGGGTGTCCTCACTCGACATGAAGTACTCTGCTTGCAGGGATGTTCGGTTTACTTGCCCGATGGCCTGTGCAGCAGCCAAAATCTCTCGAAGCAGATCATCACCTTGAACTTGTTGTTGAAATTCAGGGCGCTCCAGGAGATAAACGATGAACTTCATGATCACTGCTGTATCCATGTTCTTAGACCACTTTCCTTCAGGGTATTCACGTGTTCCACTGTATCCCAAAAGGTCCTCTGTAAGGCGTCCACAATGCAGCCTATTCTTCGTGCGTGTCATCCATCTTTTGAGGTCTGCATTCAAAGCCTCGAGGTCCTTCGCGACGCTACCTAGACCATACAATGTCTTCATCATGTAGATAAGTGCACTGGCGCTGAAGTCAAGTCCAACCCCCGCATGATACACGTGGAAGAAGTCAGCCCGGAAAAAGGCAGCGGGTGTGTCTGCCCTGTCCAGCAGCATATGCCGAACAATTGCGCCACCAGAACCATTCCATGGCAAGGGGTTGTTGACTCGGCAGGTTTGCAACCAAGCGGGCTGGGTCAGGCCTAGGTGTTCAAACGGAATGCATACTCCGGTCTCCGGCGATTCGAATCCAGCATGGCACAGCCAACAGCAGCCTTTCTGTAAGTTTCTGGAAGTGGCGTTCTTACGGACATTATGGAAGGAGCGCATTGTTTTGGCGACTTTCTTCACAAAGGGGGAATCGCCGGTGAATCCCAAAATCACCACACGCCACGTGCTCCCTTCAGCCTCAAAGCCATCATCGAAGAGCGACTTTAACTCTTGACTCCAAAGTTCCATAAGGTCATCGAATACAGTGCCATCTTTCTTAGCCACCAAGCTGCCCAGTACAGAAAACAAAAACCTTGTAGCACCCGAATTGCCTAGCAAATTGATGCCGAGCTCGATTTCGCTTTCTGCAGGTCGCTTCGAACTTAGGCTCACAGGTCTTTTCCTCGACCCACTACCCAGTGCTGGAAACATAGACAATATCTCGATAGGATCCTTTTTGAAGCCACGGCCCCCATCCCCATGCAAGTAATAAGGGATGAGTTTCCCAAATTGAAGATTCTCGGAGTTGTGAAACAGGTCATGTTGTGGGTAGAGGCCTTTGAACTTCTGCCAAAACAAGTCCAGTGCTTCGCTTGCCAAATCAACAGGTACCCCCAACACCCGATGGAAGTAGCCGTGATCACTCAAAGCTTCCAGCAGGCCCTTAGGTTTCAAGAAAGGGTACCTATAGCTCATGCCAGCCTTCGCCCAGCTGAACTCAATTGGCAAGCACATGCCATTCTTCAAGAAGATCTCAAATAGGGGTGCATCGGCACTCGAAACCTGCACCTTTGAAATCTGGGCCAGGACCTTGCATGGATCCTTCGATGCTGCGCAGCGGGCGTCCAAAACCAGATCTTTGGCTGGGACCTTGGCGTGGGATGATTTTGGATAGGAGGCTAGCTTTATATAGGTAGGGCTTACAGGTTTTATAGGGTTTAATTTGTTAGTATCGGCCGGTGCTATGCATGCATGCAGGACTTATAAAAATAGGGCTTTTGTAGAGATCAGGCATATCCTCATTGCCGAATCAGTGAGAACATCGACACGTGCATCACATCTCTGATGACATTGGGCCGGCTTTTCATTCTTCGCAAGCAGCTGGTGTCAGCAGGAGCTTCGAACGTACTTGGCTGTGTGAAATCACACAAGCAGCAAGCAAAGTAACTATAGACATTACCCTAGGATGGGCTCGCGCTGCGCGGCATTTGTAGCTGCACAGTATGCAAAGTACGGAGGTGGGAACCTAGGCGTGAAGTCCTTCTTGCGCATACTCTCCCCACCCAGCTGCTTGTTTCGACAACATCGTTCCTGGTCATGAAACTCAGCTATCAGAGCAGCTTCAAGCATCTCCAGCATCCCCAGCAGCTCTGGCCGGGATACTCTGTGTAGCACAACGAAGGATTGGAAGTTTTGTGCACGATAGCTTGCCATGCGCTGAAGTGGGTCGGAAGTAAGGCCAATCTTGAACACACAAAGTGACTCGCCCCCGTGCTCCCTGCGGACTGCATTGATCACTTTCACACAATGCCAAAGAATCTTCGAAGCAACAGCAGTTTCGGCAATCAGTCTCTGATCCAGGCCGCGGCTCTCGACTTCTTGTGGCGTGCCGGGCGACCCAGGAACCCTAGTGATTGCAGACGCCTTTGAAGAAGGGGTTGTCATATCGATGTCCGAGTGACTTTGCTGCATCTCTTCATCATCAGAATCACTCCATGGGAAAATAGACAACTTTGTGGCAGCTGCCATGAGCAGAAACACGAAGGCTTCCAGACCTATACAAGCATACCTTTTGAGCTGCAAACCCCAGGCGAGGTTTCGACGTGAGTAGCTGGGCTCAGGTAATGTTCGGATGTGCAGCACATGCACACGTGCAACTTCATGTGCTGGAATGCATGCATCAGTCACTGCATGAGGATGCACTGGAAATCGACGGACTCAAGCGATATGACTGCCGGGGCCCCAACACCCTTGCCATACTTCACGGCAAGCTGGTAGACTTGCTGGCTGATGATGGGACCGTCGTCGTTGCCTGACAGGCTGTTCTTGCTAAGTTTCATTTTGGTCGAATGGTAGCTTTAATTACACAGGAAGAGTAAACGTGGGGCATGTGGGGCGATCTAGGTGGACTGGATCTGGATTGTTTTTTTAGAGGAAACACAGGTAGTGAACATTTGTTTAAACAAGGGTGTATCGATCTATATAGAGGTCAACTATGATTGTTGGGGTTCTCACATATGATCGATCATACCTATCAGGCCTAAACTGAATGATTCATAAGAGCCTTCGGAGCTTTTTAAGTCCAACTGGGATATAAATACTGTTGGCAGGAGACTTCGGAGTCTTGTATGCGTGAACATTCTGATCTCGATCTGGTCAAGTGCTGTACAGACATTCTCCCCAGCCCTCCCCAGCAAGTAGATTTAACGCATTGTGTCGGTCGCGATGTAGCCCCTAGTCACTGTTCCTTGAAACACGGAACGTCGCTTGCAAAGTGCAGCACGTGAACCTACAGATTGCTTCGGCCAGTCGAACTTCGAAGATTTATAGTTCTAGACGTCTATGCACCTCCATGCTTCCATGCAATCAACAACAGTGGAATTCACAACAGCAGCCGAAGCCTAGAACACACACACACACACACTGAATTTGCGTGAAACAGGCTTTGCCCTGCATCTTATGGCGCGCTGGCTTCCACAAATGTTTTTGACGCCGAAACACGTCATGCGGTCTCCGTAGGAACTCCCCTACACAAGCCCTCGGAATAAGCAAGGACGACAGTACGCATGTTGCAGCCCTGAGCTAGAAGGAGGCCCTACTTATAAGCCATGGGTAGATACTGCATGCCTGACTACGCACGACGTGTCCAGGGCGACCCCACATAGATCATTTTGGACTGACGAAGTACAGTCAAAGCCTCTCCGCAGCTATTGCATCGAAGCACCAAAATCAAAATCTATAGCCCCGTGCCCCACTCATCCCATCGCCGAGTTCTCACTCGGCTTCCTTCTTGGCCGCTTTGCGGGCCCTTTGCAGCAGTGACCTCGGTGTAAAGGCTTGGAATCGGGTTGTGGGAGAGTAGCTACCTGTAGGCTAATGAGTGCAGCTATATCTAGGCGGGGTTTGTGGGAAGCATCCACCTACGTACTCTGTAGGCTGTATACAAATCGAATAGAGTTCGAATCCTAGCTTTAGAGAAAAATCTATAGGGTAACTTTATAGCTATGGTTACCTGTATATATGTCCCTGTAGTGTATATATAGGAGCCCAGAAAAGAGTCCTGAGTTATATTTGGCGCTGCAGGATTAGAGTTCTGCACGACCCCAAGACCTCGACGTGAGCTAAGACAAGACAAGGACCCACCATCCCAGAATAAAAACCCATATAATAGTTTATTTTAATTGGTGCTTATAGGGTTTAGGGTTTCGGGTATGCTTATGCATGCATGCATTAACATACACTCTGTCCGGTAGTCCCTGAGTATAATGCCCATGCACAGATGCAACATAAGTGAAGTCAGATTGTTCATGAACGGCCCGAATTGTTCTGAAGATGGAGCTATAGGTTATATATACATGCATGTAACCGTGGCGTCTCTCAATCACACTTCAGAATTTTAAGATACACTAGCTAAACCTATCCCGGAAGCAATAAGATTCCTCAAGCGGCAAGCAATAGGATCGAGCGATAATTGTAGTTCGCAATTTACATATGGACATCACGAAAGCCGGCTCCTGCTGAGATCGACTAAGACAGAAGCTTGTTGGAAGCCTCCAGGGCCTGGGACTTGGCAGTCCTCGGCACATTGTGTTTCGGAGTCAAATCGTCTTGTACGTATGATCATATGCATGACTTGACATAGATTAGCCATCAGCCTCGTTCGGCCCAGCAAGCACTTGGAGACTCAGCTCAGCTGACAATCAATATGGAGCCAAGCTTCAGTTTCTGAGCCTTGACAAAGTAGGCCTTGCACTCGGTCTGAAGCCTGAGTTATATAGCACTTAAGCTGTTGGCCGGTGGGTTTAGCTTCGGGCGAGGTTGACATAGAGGGTGCGAATGATTCTAGAGTCATACGTCAGGATCATGCATGCAGCTCCTAGCTAGTATATGTCGACATAAATATAATGTGCCAGCTCATATGCATTATACTTGCAGATGAACGACCCATCGAATTGGAAAGGTTCGGGAAATGGGATGCACACAAACCCTCACATACCCAAGTATGGAAACTGCCGCCCGAAGACTTGTCGCTGTAGCCGGTTGTGCTCCCTTCTGCTCTAGCTTCAGTCATCTCCTCGTACAAGTTCTCGAAGTCCTTGATCAGCACGTCCATTTTTTTCAGAGTCCTTATTCAGGTTCTGTGGCGCGAACGATATGAAAACTCTCAGCCGTGCTCTCAGGCTGATATGGGGCTCATAGTTTTAAATCGGGCTAGCCACTGATTTGCTTTAGCATCCCCAGCCACTGTGGGCTTGATCTTCTCCACAAAGGACTCGAGGGAGCCCTTGCTCTTGAGCACTTGTTTCATGTACTCTTTCATCTGGGAAGCAACCTTAGATGAATTGGTGACCCCGGGCATTTAGCGACACATATACCATCACTTCTGCAGCAAGTCAGGTTGGCATCCTAGCAGTCACATGGACATGCAATGCTAGGGGCACTCATGTGATGATCACCCTCAAGCTGCTTCTCGTTGTTATGCACCATGCCATCGTCATCCGAGAAGGAAAATCCATCAAGAAGAGCCCCCGGCTTGAAGTTCAGCTCGTCCCCTCCCTCCCCGCTGTACGTTTGCTGCCTCTCAAGCATCTCTAAGTCCTCCTTGGTCATAGTGCCCGTGGTCCTTGTGTTCACCCAGTACTCCAGGGTCTCATCGTCGTATTCACAGGTCCTTGGTTTCTCTAGTGGCATGCATGGGGTTGTGTAGCTGCATGACTCCATTCAGCCAATAGGAGAGACTAAATTATGCACGCGTGCTAGGTTATATTCTGAGCGCAGGAAAGATCATGCATATTGACAACACACAAGAATTCCATGAGTCCCTTCCCAAGAGCTCTATCAATTTAAGTGACCCCGAAATACGCTGAAATGGGATCGATCGAAAACAAAGCCCTCAGGGATCAACTTAAAACTTCCACGGGTCCTATGAAGCTCCAGCCTGATCGATCGAGATACCAATTGAAGATCGATCGAGGTCTTAATTATAAATAAGCCTAGTTGGGCCCCCGATCTCTAGTAATATACAATGCACTGGTGGAGGCAAAAAACTGAGCATAGATCGTAAACAGCTATATACATTCACGGATTAAACAACAGCTTGGCTACATATGATCCTACCTAGCACAACGTAAGATCAGCTCTAGTGGAACAGCTATGTACCTACGATGCATTAAAGACACAAGCTGCGGACGCAGTGGCCTGACCAAGTTGCGCTTCGTGGCCCAGGCAACGATTTTTTCGATGCGGGACCTGAGCTGCTGCGGTTTATTCTTGTACGAGGCCAGATCGGTGACTTAATGGAGCGTCATGAAATTAGAATCCCGACTTAACCCATGGGTGCTACGAAGTGACGGACTGTAGTGGAGCTCCGTCTTCATATCGTCCTTGGAGTAAAATCCTCCCTTAACCTCGAGCTTCTTGCTTCGTGTCGTGCGGGTCATGATCGTAATGGATTCCATGAATACGGCCTCAGGGATAAGCGAATTCATGGACCCCAGTGTAGATCAATCATAGCTATAACGATCGCAGAAGATGAGATCCTGAAGCATTTTCACCCGGCACCTGCCTTCACACCCCCAGCTTTGCACCACATGCGGAACAACGTGTCTCGACCTTTCCCGGCGTCCTTCCACATCTCAAAGATGTTCTCAGGAACCTCCAGCTTCCCTGTCGCCTTTTTAGGCGACACGATCCTTCGCACCTTCTCCCTCTCGAGCTTGGTCATGGCATTGAAGTTCAGCACCTTTGGGGCCTCCTCATCATCATCATCACTCTGGGCCTCGTTGGCTGCTTTCTGGGAAGCGGCAGACTTGCTTGGCACAGGCTTGGTTGGCGTCACAGCTGGTGTGGGGGGATGAGGTCTTTTCGAGCCTCGGGCACTCGGACTCTTAAGGACCTCCACACAGGGGCTTGCCAGGTTGGCCGTCTCAGGGATGCTTGGCTTCTGGGACAGCTGTGGCTTCTGGGATTCCTGTGGCTCCGGTGGCTTCTGGGATTCCTGTGGCTCCTGCGGCTTCTGGGAGTCCTCTGGCTTCTGCACATGGGACTCCTGCAGTTTGGGCAAGATCGGCCTCATTGGAGAAAGTTCATCACCGTGCTCACTCATTGACACGCATTTATAAGTCATGCATGGTGCATACACATCGATCGATCGCTCCTAGGTGCACTTACACACATGCGCAAACTTACGATCGATTCGTCCTCTGGGTGGGCTTTCAGCCTCGTGATCTCTTGCTGCTGGGCGGAGACCGTGGCATGCAACAGCTCCATTTTGTACAGCAGCTCCTACAATTAATTATAGTCATGGATGTACATTCAAGGCTACAAGTCTTCATAGGTATGTTTGCTTTATAGGTTCTATATAACTGTGGGGGATCTAGATCGGTCCTGCTCAACGTTGCTACGCACCTGGGACGAAGGCGTCGGTGTTGCGGAACCCAGGGACGAAGTGGAGGATGCTTTCTCGCACGGCTTGGGAACTCCCGGCTCCTGCTTCACCTCATCGTATTTCTTCGCATGCAGAACATATTGCAGATGTGAATGAATGCATGCATGCACATCATGCATATATGCATGTTGTGTATGCACGCATCACACATATACACCTTGTTAAGATCCTAGCTGCATGCATCGATCTGCTCAGATAAATGGAACACACAATGCGAGCTACTTGTGGTGTAAGCAGGAACTCAGAGGCTACGCAAGTATATGTACATGCATGTATGCACGAGAAATCGAGCATTGTGTAAAACTGGCGCATGCGAAGTTCGATCCGGAATCTACAGTAAACATGTATATGCATCAAGACCAAGTGCACTCCCAGCCACTGCTTTCAGGGGCGGCTTGGACACCATGGCCAGCTGGGAGTCCGTCCCCGGCTCGGTCTTGATGTCGGCTTGGGCGACGGCAATAGCTTGATTGATCTCCTGCAGGGGGATCTATAGGGAGGGCCATGTGATTGCACAGAAGTAACTTAACAAGATAGGCCGAAGTACTGAATCAGTGAATGGTGGCATATGCATGACCAAACATGTTTGGGAAGCAGATCAAGTCTGTTATGCATATGATGCAACAAAGCTTTCCTTGGCTAGGGTCTGCAAGTCAGCAACACTTTCACGCGAAGCGCTGCGCAAAAGAAACGACAAGCCGGATGCCAATGTCTCGGCAGAATGCACGTCCCTCTGCAAAGCCATTGCGTACCACGGGGTCGTGTGCTGAAGCGCTGAAAAGTAGCGCAAAACGAGGCCAAAAATAAAACTCAGGGTTGCGCGCCGAAGAGCGCTGGTAGCGTGCCTAGAAGTGCTGGTTGCGTGCCTAAAAGTGTCTGTTTGGATTTGGCGTTTTTTACATAAATTTAACTTAACTGCGCAAAACGAACTCGGACACGCTACTCTGAGCCATGCGTTGCGTGAAACAGGAATATGAACCCGCAGCCCTGAGCTGAATCACTCAATTCATGAAGGCCTGAAGCCTGAAGTCACGCAGTTCATTGTGTAAGGGGAAGCCTAGAGCTCACAACCTTGAGACACGCAGCCCCAAAACCCGCAGCCCCAGGAAGCACGCAGCCCTCAAACCCGCAGCCCTGAAACCCCAAAGCCCTAAAACACGCAGCCCTGCCGGAAGCCTAAAGCCCTGAAGCCCGCAGCCTCCTTAAAAATAAAAAACACGCAACCCTGAAACAACACGCAGCCCTGAAACCGATAGCCGCCAAAGCCACGAAACACGCAGTCCTGAAACCCAAAGCCCAAAACACGCAACCATGAAACTGAAAGCCCCAAACACGCAACCCTGAAGCCCAGACAGTCTTATATATAAGCTCGAAGCCGGCCCACATAGAACCCTGAAACCTGCATTAATGTCCCACGATAGAGAGCAGGGGCCCTGAAGCCCACACGGTCCTGTCGATCCCTTCAAAAACCACCACTGAAGACCCTGAAGCCCTGAGCCCTGCAGCCCCATGCAGCAACTGCATGAGAAACTCTATATAGCTTCTATATCGGTCGATTGTAGCGATTCTCCGTGATGCAGGCCAATGATCGAACAATACCATATTGCAAGTAGATTCAGCTGCTGAAGAGAAGCCTCCGAAGAAAACACGCCGTCCCAAGCCCCACAGAGCCACAGCCCCGCAAACTCGAAGGCCAGAGGCTCGCAAGACCTGAAAGACTTTTCCATTGAACCTCGATTAAGCTAGCTTCTATATGGCCCTTAAGCTCCTTTGCACCCCACCTACAATCAGAGGGAACATAGCACTGCAGTGCCCCCCCAACGTCATATTGCTTTCGACAGTATCCCGATGGATCCATACAAGAAATATACTGAGCCACCGAGAACCTTGCCCGCACACATCCTTGTTTAAGGCGACTTGCGAGCCAGAGGCAAGTGCATCCGAGGCAAGCCAGCGGCCTTCTGAACATAAGTCGCACTCTAGACCGCCTACCTAAAACTCCTATAATTGATCAGTCTGTTCAGCAACTGGACAGATGTATGCGCATCCTTGTGGCACGCAGTTCCCTCCTGAAGCCCCGGCAGGACCGTAGTTTAGTATATATATATATATATCACCGAAATAGCCCAAGCTTTGTCTGCAGGTTTGACTAATTAACCTAATAGAAAACCTATATATATACCCTCTGGCACTAGCTAGACTCCATAGGAGTTCATTTCATTGCAGCCCTCCCTGAGTTTAAGTATAATACATTGGAAACCTCATCACTGCCTGGGTGCTCCCGGAAACATACAGCACAGACCTGTAACTATCCGAATTCCCAGAGTGTTCTATATAGTTAAGCTAGGGCAACTCTAGTCTTGCAAGGGCGTAGCTTTCTGAGGGTTTGGGTTGGCTTCGGTCTAGCTTTAATTTAAATCGATCTACTTACGTATAGCTAGCTAGGATCATACATGAGGCCACAAAAGTTCGGAACCATGGCACAACTTCAGGCCATGGGCTCGGTAACTGTATTTACTAACAATCGACGACTTAGCCTATATACTTCGATCGATCAATGTAGATGGAGACCCACGAAGACTTATAATCATATTTATCGGATGTAAACTTTTGTACACCAAAGCAGATCCATGCATGTCCGTCAATGGGGTTAAGCTAGCTAATGCATGCATGTGGCGGGTTTAGGGGTTTCCTTGTAAAGGGTTTACACAGTTCCCAGGAGTTTCGGGGTCTAGGGTGTATAAGGTTTATACAGGGGCTTCGTGGCTTAAGGTGTATACATATATATAAGCTTCAGGGGTTTCGGGGTTTAGGGTGTTTGCCCGATCGAGAATATGCTGGCCTGTATAATACTCACCCAGCTACCTTCAATTAACACCCCAAGAGCACACAGGTATTGGATCACCCAGGGCATGAGGCTCCAGCTGAAGAAACTTCCACATGGTTGCCATCTGCAGCTGCAACAACAACTGCACTCTGAATTACAAAAGCTTCAGGACCTAAATAAGTCCGTGCGGACACACACATAGAAAGGCTGTGCCACCCTCAAATGCAAAGTGCACTTTGTTTAATACTATGGCACATGCGTACGATATGTTTAATTGTTAGTATGTGCCCAGAAGCAGGACAACTATGCAAAGTGAGTTGCAGGGAAGCAGGGCTTCCATTCCGCAGGGATTTTAAGACCTTTGGCCCCATAAAGATACTCGAGCAACTCTGGAACACCGGCATCGGACCAATCATCCTGCATGTCCAGCATCCGAAGCTTCTCAACTGTCCAGGCATCAACCATGCCGCATGGCCGCAATGCCGGGGAGCCGTTGAAGGAGGGCAGAAGCTCGGCCATGTGCCGACCAAATGATGCGGTGTAGGTCCTCGGAAGAGATGTTGAGGGGTTCGGAAAGACTACGTGTTTGGATTAGTTTCCCGGGGCTATAGCAATATAAGTATGGGGTGGGCGAAACAAGCAAGCTACTGACCTTCAAAACTGAGGCCGTGTCTGAGTTCCCTTAAGCTCACGGTTTCCCGTAAACTTTTCCCTGCCGTCTTTGCCCACCTTTCGAGTGACAGTACGAACATCACCATGCTTGCCGCGCTGTCGTTTCTTGAAAGCTGATGTCAATTTCCCTTTGTTGAACATCAAGACCTTCCGGTTGGAACTCCACAAAGCCGTTCTCTTAGGACAAGTGTGGTTGTAGTGCATCATCCAGAACCGGCAAACATAGACCTGCAGGGCCCTAGGGTGGATGCCGACGATTGTACGATGTTCAGAAAAGCTTGTAGTCTTATCCACGGGGCCACAAATCTACTTTGCAAACCCTTTGCCTTGTGGGTCCGACACAGCCACTGAAAACGAGGGTGACGCCAAATCAGCGAGGAAGCAGGTTGTTCGATAACCCAGCTAGCTTGCATGGCCACACAAAGTACCGAAATAAGAATGGTCCTACCGAGGCACGGAGATGGCTTGCATCTGGGATTGAAAGGCAAGGGCCCTCCTGTTTCGTTTTAGGGATGTTAGGGTTTTATATATAAGCATATAGGGGGTTTATAATCTATAATTATAAAAGGATTCATATAGACCGGGCTGGGGTTTAAAAAGCTATACCTGGAGTCTGTACGGGATCAGCTAGATAATCATGCAGTATAATGATGTTTCTCGTATACGACAATGCGTGGGTCCTGCAGAGCTGTTGATTTCCCACTCGTACAGATGGGGCTTCTTGGTTCCCACTCGCGTTCAGGAAGGATCTTCGAGTGCTGTTTCGGCACATGGATACCCAGCTGCCACACTGCAAGCCCTGCCACAAAGTAAAGCCTGAGCGACTCCCCTTGAGCACGGAGAGGAGGTGCAACCTGGATTCGATCGAAGGACCACACAGACTACAATGCATTGCTGAGCAGTCAAAGACTCGATCATTACAATTTTAAGTGATTCATGCCGCCGTTATGAACTCGACTAAGTCTGGAGCGCAAACCCTGCTGGAGAGAGGATGTCCATGCATCTGTGACGCTCAATGTCTAGTGCAGCTGTGTTGTCCTTGTACATTGACTGGATCTCAGCAGTCATTGTTGCTTTACCAGCATAGTGCTCCAAGAAGACAAACTCCTTGAAGTCAGAAAGATAGTCATTATTTCAGACAGGCTCAAGAAATGCATACATATTCCGCACAGTCCTTCTGCGAGGAGAGCCGCTCGTTGAAGAGTAGACACAGCACAGCTAGGATAAAGACCTGCGTGCAGCAAACGACATGGTTCTAAATTCGGAAAGCTCGTACATTGTCAAATCACATCTGATCAGTTTGTACAGAGGTCCATCGAACGAGCATATCGGCCGGGATCGGCCGTTTGCGTGTGTGAACTATATAACATGTCACGTCGAGTCTGTATTGCACGCACACATCTACACACATGCTTCCTGGAATCCCCCACCTGGCCTTCGGAGCTTGAAGCCTCATCAGGTTTTCCACCAGCTGGTAAAGCTGCATGCCGAGACAGGAGGACCGGCTGGAACCAGAAGTTGCTCTAGGGGAGCGAGCGATGCCAACATGGCTCCAATGATATGCTTTCGTACTGTTTTGCATGCAGGACAGTGCAGCAACAAGTCAGCATAGATGCACAGAGATGCTGCAAAGCATGGAAACCTACCCTACATGTGTCACGACATACTGAAACCCAAAGCCTTCCCCGGAGATCGTGCCTGACTCGGTTGCAAGAGTTTCCTGGCTGTCCGCATCGGAAGGATCACGACGAGGAGGCGGCATGACCTGCGCGATGGGTGCTGAAGCTCGGTGTCTCGGATTGGGGCTCGGCTGCAAGAGTTGATGCAAGGAGTGGCCGTACATGATTTCTTGCATTGAGAAGCACAGACAGAATACAGGCTCCAATCTTTTTCTTCTTCGTGCATGAGCGAACACTGCAGAGCATGTGATGCGTGCGTTCGAAGTGAGCACTTGAAAGCTTTAAAGTCGAGGAGTCGTCTCTGATCAGCAAAGGCAGCCAACACTGCAAGTAAAGCACAGTGCTTTTGGCCATCACATCACCGATAGCTGCACTACAGCTACGAGCTACCCTACATATCCTTTAGATTAGATTCCGGGTCTAGTTTCAGGTGCTGGCTGCCCTCCAATCAAAATCGGCGGGCCGAGGCCGGAAGCAGGAGGTTCTTTACCCCAGGTCCCCCTGCTGCAGCTACAGTGCTAAGCCACTCGATAAACACATCAGTGCGCAGCGCACCTCGCAATGGCAGCCTCGTATCGCTTGAGAGTGGGCCTCTTCCCAGTCTCACCAAAGAGCTTCTCCCCGACATCCGACCATGTCTTGCCTGAAAACTTGGGGTTCGAGAGATTAAGTTTAATTGTACAACATGATAGCACACTCTCACACACAGAGTTTATCGATCGACAAGTTACTAACGCGGTCATCATTCAGAAAATCAAAAGTCCACTGTGACACCGTGGGGAGCCAATCCTCTTCATTCTCTACCGGCGTGTTCTTTAAGGCTTCGGCCACATGCTTCCAGAAGGGATCCTGCACAACGTGCATGCATAAACATGAGATACCTGTGCATGAACCGGTCACAAAGCAACAGCACGATCAATGGTATGCACATGCGACAACCCGTACTGTCCTCGAGTTTGCCTGGAAACCTAACGAACGGTCGGATGCGGCCATTGAACGCATCCTTGATCGCGTTGAATTTCGCCTGGTACCAGGATCGCGAAGGGAAGTACCGGCGAGCGAACGTTGGGACATCCTCCTTCTCTTCCTCCACGGGCTCGGCCTCTTCCTCCTCCTCCTCCGGGGTCGGCTGCTTGCCACGAACACGTTTGGCAGGACGCTTTCCCGCTCCCTGCTCAGCCTCCCACGCGGCCCATTCCTCCTTTGTCCACTCCTGTTCATCCTCCTGCGGCTCGCGATCCTCCACACCGGCCACATAGCCATCCCCAACGTGTTCATTGGGGTCGTACTCGTAGTAGACCGTTGCGTTGTCAGCTTCCTTTGCCTTCGCCTTCGCCTTCTTCCCCTTCTTGAGCAACTTGCGCTTGCTCAGTTTTCGAGCAATCACACCCGGCTTGGGTTTGCAAGGCTGCTTCTCCTCCTCCTTCTCCTCCTCCAAAGCCTTGCGCTTCGTAGCCCGAGCCTTCGGCCCAACCTTCGAATCCATCGAGTCCTTGACATCTTTTTTGGATTCTTTTTTGGGCCGGCCGGGACCTCGCTTGGGCTTTGCGACTCGATCTGTCTCAATCTCCTCAGACGGTCCCGGCTCCTTGCCACCGCCAGGGGCAGCATCCGTCTTAGCCTTCTTCTTGGCCGTCAAAGCGAGCTGGGCTTGTCGTGTCACCACCGCTGCAACCTCTGATCACCACAGCATCACCGTACACAGAAGAAACGAATGGAAAAGAAATTTTGAGCAAATATCATCTATAATGCCCATGGACATATTGGGTTTAGACTGCATGAATCAGATACCGACATGGATTCTAATCTCGCCTGGTAGCTGGCTCACCGATCAGCTCCGGCGAAGGCTCAGGCTCACGACTGTGGATTTCATCATTCAGTCTCTTATTTCGGAATGCCTCCTTCTCTCGAGCTTGTGCTGCCTCCTTCTCTCGAGCTTCTGCCGCCTCCCTCTCTCGAATTTCTGCTGCATGCCTCTCTCGATTTGGAGCTGTGTCTCTCTCTCCATCTCGACCGAGTAAAGCAGCAGATCGAGCTGCTTCAACCCGACACACATGTTCTGCACGTGCAGAATCGAGCCATGCCTGTACGTAGTGCTCGGGCTGAACCAGATACTGCTGAGTGTCCATGTTGTCGACAGCATTCGAACTGCCTAAAAGTGCATGTGATACATCATGCAAAGACACGTGCATGCGTTGAAAAAAATCACGTATTGTGCAAGCATGTCACAGTGACTGCCACTGCCAACTGATGTAGATCCTTCTTCAGCTTCGAAGTTCAGCTTGCGACGCGTAGCATCCGGAAGATCCCCTGGCTTGAACTCCTTATTGCGGACCTTCGACCTTAGTACACATGCATGCATGCATGGATCCTATATATATTGACATGCGGACCGGGCATTGCAGCACATGCCCACACAAAGAATCGAGATGCAGCTTGTCGTTGACAACAGCCAGCATCTGCTGCAACCTTGCAGGATCCATCCTTGAAAGCTGGCCAGCCAGTCCTGCAAAAGAACTCGGAGTCGTAGGAGTGGGATCTCGCACGGGCGCTGGCTTCACGGAAATAATCTCCTTAAACCATGCAATTCCAATCGAAAGAATGCGCACACAGAAACTGCAGAGCAAAACATCAGTGTTCAGTCAATCGATCGAGATCTATATGTAGACTCTGTGCACATCGAATCATGCAAGGCTCAGGGCTTCCAGGGGACAGGGGTTCGGCAAGAGCACCCTTCACTGGAGTCTGTCCCGGAAGCGAGTCACCTGAGGGTGGCTTGTGTTCCGTCTCCACATCGCAAATGGCCGGCAGGCTGTCGTCACTCAAACCCTGCATCATCTCCAGAGTATCCAGAACAGGAGCTGCCATCACAGGTGGGCCTGCTGAGTCAGGCTTTTCATGCCCAGTTTCTGGACGATCCGCCTGCAAGGGCTCCTTGCTCCTTCGGATATTCTCATACGTAGCCGGGTCAAGCGAAAACCCCAGCATCTTCTCGAGTTCTTCTCGAGGAGGTGCTTTCAAATACACCTCCAAAGGCGACTCGGCATTCCGCTCCCCAAGAGAGGAATGTAGGCTCTGTCTCAGCGAAGCATCGTCAGCCATGTCACTGTCGTCGTCCGAACCACAACTAGCAATCGGCTTCTGCTTGGGCGACTTGGCTAGCGCAGAGCGGCCTTCCTAAATTCAGCAGCAGGCACAAGGATCCAGCACAACAAATACATGAGAACATACATGCAGCACATGCACTGCAAACATCACTGCCAAAAGCATTGCTCTTCTCGTTTCAGAATCGGCATATGCAGTTTCAGATGCTTTGGATAAGTCGAACACCATGTTTCGGATCTCTTCGTCCTTATATCGAACATCTTAACTATTGGCAATGCAGGGCCGCAGGGCCCAGAATTTCCGTATAAAAAGGAATCTCGAGAAATACAGTCATGCATGATATGCATGTATATCCATGGCACACGTGGAATCTCCCATAGTGTCCACTTTCGTTTGATCACGGTGAGCATGGACTTGATTGCTTCTGCTGATTTGGCGATGTTCTTTTCTCTTCGAAGCTTCATATCCATGGTATCAGGCTTCACTGGCACGTCCTCTGCTTCTGAATCATAGAATTTGCGCACTGCTTCTTTGATGAGTTCCACAGGTTTGCTGATTCTTCCATACCTGGCCATAGCCTCCGTGAAGGGCTTCAAGATAATATGATTCAGTCTCATGTTTGCAAGGGTAGGGAAAACCTGGTTCCTGTTCTTGCAGTCTATGAGGAGCATGGACCGAGATCTCGCACGCTTCCTCAGGGTTCGATGCTTCTCCCATTCATGGCAGCACGACAGGAAACTGAGTTTCGCCATGTAGTATGGACACGGTGACCTTGAACCCCAACTGCGATCACGAAGCTCTAACTTCCAATCACTAGATCGATCATTCCCAACATTCGCAGAAAGCACGGGGGGGAGCACCTTCAGCCAGGCTCACCCTGATGATCGAAAACAACCACGTCATCTCCGGTCCTGGCGTGGACTTATGTGCTCAGCGTGCTGAAAAAAAAACTTCGTCAGCCCAATACATGCCAGTTGGACCCTTCGGAAGTTGATGAGGGAGTGCACGAAAGGACATGAGGGCCAGGCTTCGAACGATTGCTTACATAGGGTTTATGTATATAGGGCTTATGGGGTTTATAGGGCTTGCGATCTATAGTCTTGAATTAGCTACGATTTCTGTGACATCAAACTTCGCTTATCTCGGAGCGATCTGTCTCAAGAATCAGCAATATGCTTGCGATGCAACTAGCTAGCTAGGATATTATTCGATCTAAATTGAGCACTACCTGCGCATATCCCGTACCTGACACATGGAGGAGGGGTGCACACAGGCTCTTCAAGCCTTTGCAAAGGTCAACAGGATGCACTTTATGCCTTAAGCCTCGAAGCGGGTCGGGATTTCAGGGATAGTGCCCTGAAGCCATTTGGGCCTTCAGGGAGGCTTGCCCTGAAGCGAACCAGCCCGTATCCAAAAGCAAGCGTTTGGCAGAAGTGTGCGTTTACCGCAACAATGATTTATAAACAGGCGTTTGCTTTCACAGGCGGTGCTTAATTTCAGGTGCAAAACCTTCGTTTTGGAGCGCCGGTACTTAATTTCAGGTCTGAAACCTTAATTTTGAGCTACGGTCCTTAATTTTGGAGCCCCGTCCCTTAAATTTAAGCTCCAAACCTGATTTGGGAGTTCGGTCCTTAATTTTGGGTCCCAAGCCTTAATTTTGGAGGGCTGGCCCTTAATTTTAAGTCCTCGACTTTGATTTTAGAGTCCCGGTCCTTAAATTTAGGTTCCAAATCTGGGGTCCTTAATTCTAGGTCCCAGCTGCGCACCAGTCCGGAAATTTAGGTTCCAAACCTGATTTTCGAGTGATTTTAGGTGCAAAACCTCAATTTTGGAGCACCGATCCTTAGTTCTAGGTCTGAAACCTTAATTTGTGAGCTCCGGTCCTCAATTTTGAACCCCCGCCCTTACATTTAGGCGCCAAACCTTAATTTTGGAGCCCTGGTCCTTAATTGTAAGTCGCAAGCCTTAATCTCAGAGCTGGTCCTTATTTTGGAGCTCCGGGCCTTAATTTAGAGCCCCGGTGTTTGATTTTGCAGCCTCGATCCTTAAATTTTAGGTCCCATTTGCGCCCGATCCGTAAATTTAGGTTCCAAACGTTGATTTTAGGGCCCCAGTCCTTAATTTTAGATGCAAAGCCGTAATTTTGGCGCAGCGGTCCTTAATTTTAGGTCTGAAACCTTAAGTTTTGAGCTCGGGTCCTTAATTTTAAAGCCCCGGCCCTTGAACTCAGGCTCCAAACCTTAAGTTTGGAGCCCCGGTCCTTAATTTTATGTCCCAAGCCTTAATTTTGGAGCCCCGGTCCTTAAATTTAGGTTTCAAACATTGATTTTCGAGCCCCGGTCCTTAATTTTAGGTTCGAAACCCCTGTTATCAAGGTTTGGTCCGTAATTTATTCTTATTTGAAGCTTTTAAAAGAAGAGGACGGCACGCTTTGACGCAGGAACCCAAGGTTTAGGGTAAATTCTCTTTGGAGCCAGACTGACGCTGGCACGTGGGTTCAACCCTTCTTTGCGTGGGCCGCGCTCATCGCGCGCACCGGCCTCGAGCCCTCGCCGGCCGAAGCCGGCCCAGTCGGGCTCGTCCGCGGGCTCGTCGCCACGCGGTATCGCTCGCCGCCGGCAAATGCGGCGCCCGCGGCTCGCTCCAGTTTAGGGTTTAGAAATTATACAGGGTGGCTCTCAAAATTATGGGCCGTTTTTGGGTCTCTTTTTTTATACGGCACCTATTATAAAGCTTTGGGGGTTTTTGATTATAGTGATAGGGGATCTATCTGGGATCTGTAGGGTTTAGGGTTTAGAATAGGGGCCTCAAGTATTATCTATGCTGTTTTGGGGCCCCCTTACTATAATCCAAAACCTATTCTAATTATTAAGGCACCCATAGTACACGTCAGCCTTGCCCCTCACCCCTGGAGCCTAAACACTGAACCCCTTGAAGGGTTACTGTAGGGCTTAGGGATTTAGGGTTTTTGGGGGGTCAGGGAATTAAGGATTTAGGGCTTTAGGGCTTTAGGTGTCTAGTATTTCCGACACCCTAAACCTGGCAAGACCTTATCTCAGCCGTAATACAAGGTAGACCTCTGACCGGTTCTGGAGTGTACGGACTGAAAACATCCTGAGCCTAACGCCTTACTCGAAGCCCTCTTATAAGAGGGTTTAGGGATTTTGGATGTTTAGCGGCGTAGGCATTTAAAGAGTTAAAGCTGTAGGGTTTTAGGGATTAGGATCTAAGGGTAAAGGTTTAGGAGTCGGAAGGTTGAGGGGTTTACTGTGACTGTCCAAGGATTCAAGCCTGGGATTCCGGCTTAGGGTGTAAAGCTGATAGAATCCGGGTTCAAGATTTGTCTTGCGCGATTTTGACTTTACTGCAACCTCGGTTCCTTGTTCCGCAAACAGTGTGGTAACACTCCCTAAACCGCAAACCCTAAACCCTACAGAGTAGAGATTTGTTGGTTACGGCAGCCGCAAGCACTGGCGTTGAACACAATTTCAAGGCGCAGCTCCCCTGGCAAGGAATATGCCTTAGATTCTAAGGGGCTTCATACTGTGATTTCAGGTAATTATATTCCTTAATCAAGGGGTATCGGGCTCTCTGGGTATTGTTTAAGGAGGGTCCGCTGGAAGCCATCCCCAAATCCCTTAACCCCAAAAGTCCCAAACCCTTAAACCCCTCAACCCCAAGCCCCCAAACCGGTTCAGGGTTAGGAGGTTATAGTAGGGGTTGCGGGATTTAGGCCCCCTGAAGCCTGAACCCCCAAATCTTTACATTTAAATTACCACCCAAACCCCCTAAACCACTTTAAGTCCCAAGCCTTAAACCTTAAACCCAACACCCCATACCCTAAATCACTAAATCCCCTAAACCGCCTTAAGTCCTAAACCTTAAACCCTAAACTCTATAAACCCTAAATCACTAAACCCCCAAACCCCCAAAAAGCCCTAAAATGCGGTGCAGGTGATCCCCCAAGCGGCCCAAAGCTGGATGTTGCCCGTGCATCCTGGCAGGATGCAGGGTTTGGGGTTTGGGGGTTAGGGTTTTATAAGGGTTCCTTTCGGGATTCCTGTAAGGGTTCCGTAAAAAGGGCTTTAGGGTTCAGGGTTGATGGGCTAAGGGTTTGGGGTTTGGGGGTTTGGGATTTGGTAGGAGTTTGGGGGTTTTGGGGTTGGGGGGGTTGGAAATTAGTGGTTAGGGGTTCGGGGTTTCATTGGGGTTTAGGGGTTTGGGGTTTAGGGTTTAGGGGTGAAGGCGTTTGGGCTAGGCTAGAAAGTTCAGGGATTTAGATTTCACTCAGCTTTTGGGCGGTCGCTTCCGGTCAAGTGTTTCGGTTGTGGGTTGAAGGTTTGCACAGAGTCGGCGATGTTGGAAAAATGTGTGGCAGTTTGGGAGGATGCGTTTTGGGGTCTTGCCGATGACCGATGTTCATGGTTGTTCTGCAGTTTTGGCTTTCTGGCAGATGAGGGCACCCTGAGTACTCGTGCATGGTCTTCAGGGCTTTGTGGAATTTTATCTAGCCCTAAGGCTCAACATTCAAGCCACTACCAAAAGGGCATCAATAGGAAAGAACATAGGGTTTATGGGGTTTAGGGCTTCCCTGAACTCTAAACCCTGCAGTTTAGGGGTTTAGGTTTTAGGTTTAAGGAATTAAGGGTTGCAAACAGGTGCTGGGGCGTAAATGGCAGAAAGTCTCAGGGAACTCAATATACACTCCTGTTAGGGATCAGTATTGGGATCCTGGGAAGCCCACCCAAAATTTTTTAGAAAGGACTGTTGCGTGGGATGGAAACTGGTGGTTTTGTAGCTGCTGCAGATGCTCTGTTCAACAGCTTTAGTGCCGTTTGGGGACTGTTCCATCCTGCCGTCAATTCAGGCTGCATGGTTGCGATGCCAGGTTGTATGTATACTGCTCCTCGTCTTGACTTGCTGATTCATGCGGATGCGCGCCACTTTGAAGACTGTGTAAAAAGAACCAGGTGGATGGTTTCAACGATATCAAGTTCTTCATAATCATAATTGATGAGTTTCACCGTCGCCACCATACCTGTCAGAAAAGAAGCCTGACCAAGCGGGAAGTAGCTTGCAGCCATGGTGTTAGGACCAACATCTCCGAAATGTTCAATACCTGGCTTCGTCCTTTAAACTTCGTCCACAATGGGCTACGGCCGCATATCCAGAAGTTTCGGGTCCTCGCAGCATGCAAGTTCTTGTAACAGTCATATGCCCAGCCACCAGCGATTTATGAAAAGGCGCACTGCAGCGCGAAGCCGTGGAGTTGCCAAAAAGCCCAGTGCCTTCATTCGCAAGAGGCCGTCCATTAGACGGGTGTAAATGTCAAGACGTATGCTAGGCTGGCTATGGACTATAGGGTTCCTGGCAAAAGCAAAACATGCTGCATTGTCCTGCTTGTGATGCTTGCAGTGCACGTGTCATGAGCAAAAATTCCTTATTTGCCCATACATCGGCCATGCACGATGTCCTGGCATATCGGCTCCAGTGTACTATACAGGTAGCATTCAGGGCCCGAGCACCGTAAATGCACCGCCATGTAGCCTGTGGTCGTGCATGTTCGCGCAGGGGATGATAGTCGTGTCCTCTTGGAGCTCTGCGTGGGCTTGGTGCCGGCTCGACAGGCAGATGGTGCATCCGGTAGTTCCACTCGCGACACTGCTGAACCCGTCGTGACTGTCTTCGAGAAAGCTCTTGCTACTACAAAGCCGCCGAGCCCCAAGGATGTCATCACGGGGAATACATAATGGCACTCGTGACGTCCATGAGTCGAAGACACAGTTGTCTTTGAGACGCTTGCAGATGCAGTTCTCCAAAATCCAACATGGCCTCGGTCTCAAGTCTTCTTCAACAGGCAAGTGGTCGTAAGACGAGGGCGCGGCTCTCGCAGCGTGGCTTCTTCGTCCTCCTAGCAAACAAAAGGCAGGTGCAGCTCCACTGGCTATGGGAGATGTGGCCAGGGACCATGGCGAAGAGAACGAAGAGGACACGTCTGTTGCTGGTTTACGTGATCCCGTCCACGAGCCTGTACTTCATGATGACGATGCAGCTCCACATGATCCAATCCAAGAGCCTGCGTCCAATTCTCGACGTTCCAGGAAAAAGTCCGGTTCGTCCAACTCCTCGTCATCGTCTACTTCATCAGAGGAGGCTCCTCCCCCAATGTCGACTTCTCGTCTTGGCCTACTGAGTGGCATGATGCCTGGGTGTCCTGTGCGCACTTAGCTGATATCCGGATGCTAAGAAACACAAGATCGGGGATGCGCTCTTGCTTCAGATAATACAAATCTAAGCAGATGTGGGACGAGGCTTAAGAACCAGGTGTCCTGAGATCACGAACAAAGTGTGCTTCATATGTGCCAAGTTGAACAGTTAGAGAACCCAGCCTCAAACATCTGCATCCTCCTTGTCGACGTGTCGGCTCATTCCTGCGCAGCTGAAGAAATGCTACGCGAGGGTATCCATCAACAAGTCTTTCTCCGACACGATGGTTGAGAACGCACAAACTTCATCCCACACAACAGTCCTTCCCAATTGCTTTTATGAAATACCTTCCATGCCTAACCTGCATTTTGTTATTCTTGTATTACTTAATAGTAAAGGTTAACCTTGTTGGAGTACGCAAATCCCTTGATACAATAGCTTCCTCCTAAGCCCAAAAACCCAACACCTTGAAATCCTAAACCTTGTATACCCTGCGCCCTAAACTCTCAAACCCTAAAACCCGAAACCTTCAGGGAACTTTAAACCCTAAAACGCTTAGAGCCTTTGCAGAAATTGCAGAAGAAACTTTATTGAACCCTTATCGGAACCTTAAAAAAGCCCTGTAAAATTCAATCCGAAAAACTCTAAACCCCCAAGCCCTAAAGCTCTAAACCCCTAAAAATCCACAGCCCTAAAACCTTACAAACCCAACACCTTACACATAAAGAGCCTTAAACCCTAAACCTTAAAAGCCTTAAAAGCACTAAACCTTATGCACATGACGAAGCAAGTTTATTCGCATTAAGGCGGCCGCTATACCTCTCGAGCTTCTCGCCGGCAGTGATGAGAACGGCGTCCTGTTGGGGTTTAGGGTCTCGGGTTCAGGGTTAGGTGTTCGGTTTAGGGTTTCGGGTTTTTTTGGTTCCAAGGTTGCGTTTAAGGTTTTGGGTTTAAGATGTTTGCTTAGGGTTAATGCTTCAGGGTTTAGGGTGGGTTTAAGCTTGTTGCTTTGCACCCTTCAGGGGTGTTTGCTGTTTCTTGTTGACGGTTCCTTTCAGTGTTCGTTTCGGTGTTCCTTTTTCGGTTTCTTCTTCGGGGCTCCATTTTGGGATTCCTCCAAACCTGCCTTCTCGGGGTTCCTTTGCGGTTTCCTTTCTTGTTTGCCTTAGGGTTCTTTTGGGGTTTCTTTGGGAGGTCCAGAAGTATGCTATAAAGAATTATAAAGGCTCCTATCAAGGTTTCGCACGAACTCTCCGTAAACCCTAAACCCTGAAGCCTTGGATCCTAGACCCGAGACCGTTTCTCCTAAACCCATTTTTGTTCCCTCAACCCTAAGCCCCGAACTTTTCGACCCCCGACTACCCCCCTTTGAGGGTGGCACTGCCTGAAGAATTGGCTCCTGCATGGAGGCTGGCCTTCGAGGTGGGCTGCCACTTTCGCTCTGCAGGGGTTGAGGGTTGCAGGTTTAAGAGTACAGAAGCTTGACTAGTTATCAATAACAGATTGTTGTGCATTTCGTTCTTAGTTCTTGTTTCCGTCGGGGCCGACGACCACTACCTATCAATGTTGTTCCTTGTATAGGGATCCTATTTTGCTGCTGATTGTATCTTGCAGAACGTAGACGTAGACCCTAAACCCTTCAATAGGCGTTTTGTAGAACCGAATACTCAGGCCCCTGTATTGGGTATACCCGCAGACCCCCTCGGTCAGCCTCATTCAGGGTATGTTTGGGCTCCCGGTTTCCGGTTTAGGGGTCCAGGCAGAGGTTCTAGGATGTTAGGGCTTTTGAGATTCAGGAGTTTCCGAAAATAGGGGACGATAATACAGTACCCTGAATAGTAGGATCCTTATTATAAGGACCCCAAAAGAAGGTACCCTAATTTTCGGAAACTCCCACTTAAGCAGTCAAGGTTTTGGGATGTTAGGGCTTTCGGAATTTGGTTTGATGCATCCTCTGCATGAACCGCCAGCTTTCGTGGCTACCACCGGGTTGGGTAGCCGGCGTAGAGGCCAGTCCGTCTCAGCCATGGCAGTCGTGCCGACGAAGCTCCGCGCGCCGCCGACTGGGGCCCCCATGCCAGTCAGTGGAAGGGAGACGATGGCAAAGCCTGTCGCTGGAAGGGAGATGCCAAAGGCACAGCTCATTGCAGATGAGGATGTAGAGACGGCTGAAGGCTCCAGTGAAATCAGGAGCTTTTGCTTCCCCAGCCAAGAGCACCCTCAGTCCGACAACCGAAGCTCCGAAACCCCGAAGCCCCAGCACCTGAAAGCATCCCACAATCGTAGCCCTAACGGGTTTGGGGTTAAATTTAGGATCCAAGCCCACGCAGAAGAGGAGTATGGCACCTTTGCCTGGAGAGCGGGATCACCGCTGCACCGACCCTGTCTGGATTTTGGTTCTACTCGCAGCCTTGGGCGTGCTGTATGTCCCTTTCACAAAGGCCGGCGGCCGGGATCCTTCCGGAACTTCAGTTGAAGCTGCGGGCAGTAGGATATGTCTATACATACATGCATACGTACGTACGTGCATACGTACATACAACAGGGAGAATTCCTTGTGACGGTAGCTTAACTTAAGCCCTTAATCCCTTGTTATTAAAGCTTCAAGAAACCTCACGAAACCAACCATTATAGCAACCCGAAACAGCCCTTTAAGCCAAAGGTACAAAACACTCCAAAGCCCTCTGAAGTCCTCAAGAAGAAACCCGAAGGCTTTGGAGGAGGGTGACATGTCCAAGTACACCAGTGGTTTTGACTACAAGGGCAGGATGTGTGGCCACGACATCTGCGACAACGGAGAAGTCCCTGGGTTCAGGTTAGGGGATTTAGGTTAAGTTACCATAATAGGAACCTATAGTAGATAACATGGTTGCCTTATTATAGTAACTTAATCATGAATCCTTTAAACCCAGGTTTGTGGAGACTTCATCTACTTCTGCTCGAAGCTTGGGGAGAGTGGAATCGACACGTTTCATCCAATCTGCATTGACAGCTGCCCCACCTCCAACCTGACGTCGCATCTCTGCTATGACGAAGCCTCAATGGGCCCACTGCTTGTGCAGGATTGGCCTACCAAAGAGTATGGCATGAAGTGCCTGCAGCGGTCCCATCGTGTCTAGGCCATTCTTGAACGCATTTCGCTAGATTGTATCATTGTATTGTTGATCATACCTTTTAAGACCTAAGAGCATCTACAGTGTAGTCTTCGGAGGGAACAAGACGTATGATTCTTAACGACCTGCCCAGGTCTGCGGGAGGACCAAGAGCACTTGCGCAAGCGATTGGCCGGAGATATGACCCGCTTCAAGAATGCAGCTCACACTCCGGGAATCTGGGTTCTTATTCAAGAACTTTTTTCTTAAGTTGCCATACACAGCCCGAGTAGCAACCGTAATAGGGGGAGATAGCATAGGCATGCATATGCTAAATAGCGTACGAATCCATACGCGTGCCTTCTTGTGGTAGCTTCTATACATGAACCTGCTTCATAAAATCCCAGGAATGGTGCTTGACTGCGTCGCCTCCATTGCGATGGCCCGATGGCACCTCCTCGTCGTCGCCTTTGTGTCGATCGCCGCCGGCCTCATGTACATGCTCTTCTTATGGAGCTTCCTCGACTTCCTGATCCATGGATCGGTGGTGCTAGTGATCCTCATGCCCACTGCTGCTGGGACCTTGTCAAGGAACCGACTTTCAGCTAGCATTCGGGTCGTATATGGTAAATAATGTGCTACCCTTATAGTTTTTGTGTGGAGGATGCTCCTCAACTACTCCTCAACACCTCAAGAAAACCAGTCCGAAACCCTACAAAACCCTCGATAGGAATTTTCTATTACGAAGTGTTGAACACACGTTCTTGATGCCCCAAGAATACCGTCATAAGAACCCTTCCGGCCCTAGGGGCCTTCCGCAGACACTTGGTTTGTTGTATGTGTATATACCATCCAAAACCGTATTCTCATGATTATTGTTTAGGGTTTAGGGTTTCGGCACCCCAAAAACACCCTTCTAATGCAGAACCCCTGCAAGGACCCTCAAAGGACCCCCTCTCTAGCCCTAAACCCGACACTCCAACAAACTCAAAACCAAAAGCCTAGAACTCTAAACCCGAAGCCCTAAACCAAAAAAACCCAAAAGCCTTAGACCTAACTCCCTGAAACCTAAAGCCCTAAAACCCTAACGTAAGTTCTAAAACCGCAGCACTATAAACCCTCAACCTCACACCAAAAGTGGTAAATCCCAAACCCCAAACTCAAAAAGGCCCTAAGCCCTACATCCTAAATTCCAAACCTTAAACTCTAAAAGGCCCCAGACCCTAAATCCTAAACCCTAAACCCTAAACCCTATTCAAAAAAAAAAAACCTAAACCCTAAACCCCTAAACCCCTAAACCCTAAACCCCTAAACACCCTAAATCCTAAACCCTAAACAGGCCTTCGGCCTCTGGAACCTCTTCGTCTTCTACAACGGCGGAGGGATCGGTGCGGCTGTCAGAGGAGATACCGCAGTCCAGGAGTGGCTGTAGGGAGATTAGAGATAGGGCTTCTTTCAGGGCCGAGGGTTTAGGTTTTAGGGTTCAGGTTTTAGGGTTTCGGGTTCAGGCTTTAGGATTGGAGTGGCTGTAGGGAGTTTGGAGATAGGGCTCTTGCATGGTTCGGGTTGAGGGTTTAGGATTTAGGGTTCAGGTTTTAGGGTTTCAGGTTCAGGGTTTAAGGTTCAGGCTTTTTTGGGGTTTAGGTTTTGGGGTTTCAGTGTTCAGGGTTTTGAGGTGGCTATAAGGGTTCTCAGGGTTTCAGAACCAGGGTTGAAGATTTGAGGCTGTAGGGTCTAAGCTTTGAAGTCTCGGGCGCAGATTTTAGGTTTTAGGGTTTCGGGTTTAGAGTTTAGTGTTTAGGGTTTAGGGTTTAGTGTTTAGAGTTTAGGGTTTTGGGTTACTGAAGGTTTAGAGTTTAGGGCTTTGCGGGGATGCCTGACAGCACCAGAGCTTCTTGAAGAGTTTTTTGGGTTCTGTTGAGGCATTCTTCTCAAGGGATAATATGCTCTGCTTAACTACTTTGGGAATGTACTGTAAGTGGACCGCTATATTGGTGAGAAGGTGTAGGTTGGATATAAAAGCTTTGGGTCTTGGGGTGCAGACATGAAAGTTGGGGGTTTAGGCTATGAGGCTTGAGGGATAGATTTGAGGGTTTAGGGCTTTGGGGGGTGTAGGTTTCAGGTGTAGGGTTTGGGTAGGCTCCTGTCGACAATGATTGCTATGCTTTGATCAGGGAACCCTGCAACACAAAGTCCTCTTAAACCCTAGACCCTGAACCCTGAACGCTAAACCCTAACCGTACTTGGAGGTTCATGGGCAGTTATAAGTGGAGTTATAAGTAGGGTAACTATAATTATAATTATAACCCATATTAGGGGACTTATAACCCCACGTAAAACTACCCATGAATCTGCAAGTAACCGTCAATCCGAAACCTCAGACCCCTAAGGCATCTTGCGTGGACCCCGCAAAGACCCTTTTTACGCTTTGGGGCTTGGGGTGTAGGGTTTAGGTTTAGGGGTTTCAGGGAACCCCAAACCTATCACAAACCCTGCAAAACCCAATGCGAGACCTTCTTCCAACGATTCAGCCCTTGTGTTTTTTCACCCTTAACCCTTTGACCTGATCATAATTCCTACAAGACCCATGGAAAACTGTTAGCTTTGCGATTCCTACAACGCCCATACAGAACGCCCTTCTATTGTACGTAAAGAAAGGCAACCCTAAACCCGAAACTTTAAACCCTAAACCTGAAGCCTTAAGCCCCAAACCCTCAAATCCTAGATCCCTAAGGCCTAAATATCTTTTTGTCCCTAAACCCTATTTCCTATACCCTTTGATAGAATCCTATAGTACCCTTTAAAGGGAACCCTATGTGACCAGGCCCTAAACCCCTTAGGATCCCTAAACCCTAACTCCATCGTCTGCCAAAATAGGAGGCCTTGTGGATGGGCGCAGCAGGTGGGGGGTTTCTTAGAAGGGTTCATGATTATAGGTTCGGGGTAGGATTTCGGGTTTAGAGTTTAGGATCTAGGTTTTGCGGTTTAGGGTAGGGTTGAGGGTTTAGAGTTTAGTTTTTTTTTGCGGGTTTCAGGATTTTGCAGGAACTGTTTTTTGCGCTTTTGGGGCCTGGCGTTTTCGGTCTTTGGGGTCTAGAGACTAGAGTGTACGGGCGGGATTGACTCTAATTGAGAGAGCTGCTCAGGTGTCGCCGTCGGCTTCTTTCTGTGGTGCGCCTTGAAGCAGATTCTGAAGAAGCTCGACACTGCAGAGGGCTGCATAATTGCGACGACCGAATGCCTCTTTCAACTCCCCTTTATCATGCTTGAGCCTGCTTTCAGCTTAATGGTTAAGTTGGCGGTGGTGGTCCCCCTGTTCCTGATCATGTT